GGATAGAGAAGGGACCAGGCAGGGATAGGGCAGGGATAAGGCAGGGACCAGGCAGGGACAAGGTAGAGAAAGGCAGTGCCCAGCCCGTACCGCAGCAGCGCTCCCAGCAGCCTGGTGACGTTGTCGGAGGACTGGATGACGATGACGGGCTTGGCGAGGAGCTGGGACACATCCAGCTGCAGGGGGAGGGGGGCAGAGCCATCAGGGGGGCCCGACCCTGGCCCAGCCCCCCAGAGGCACTGCCCTACCTCCCGGATGGCGTTCTGGTTCAGCGCTAGGATGAGCAGGGCCGAGGCCCCCAGCACCAGGGCTCGCTTCATCTGCAGGGACAGTGGGGACACGCTCAGGGGGCAGCTCAGCGTGTTCCTTGCCAGCCCCTGTCCCCACGCCTCTTTGAGGTCACAGGGGACCCAAAAGGGCCCTGTCAAGGACCCCCCTGGCACCAAGCACAAGCCAGAACCCCCAACATCTGCTGAGGAGACACCTCAAGTGACACCTCTGAAGGCTTGTGACCCACCAATACCACAGCAGCCCCCGGGCCAGGCAGAGAGAACAAGGACTAGGGCCAGGCAGAGGGGACAGGGCCGGGCAGAGAGGACAGGGAAGGGGCAGAGGGGATAGAGCTGGGCAGAGGGGACAGGGAAGGGGCAGAGGGGATAGAGCCGGGCAGAGGGGACAGGGAAGGGGCAAAGGGTACAGGGGCTGACAGAGGTGACAGGGCTGGGCAGAGGGGACAGGACCGGGCGGAGGGGACAGGGCTGGGCAGAGGGGACAGGGAAGGGGCAGAGGGGACAGGGATGGGCAGAGGGGACAGGACCGGGCGGAGGGGACAGGGCCGGGCAGAGGGGACAGGGATGGACAGAGAATGAGGACCAGGACCAGGCAGGGGGGACAGGGCCAAGCAGGAGGTCACCTTGGTGACAACGGCGGTGGTAAAGGACTCCTCCTTGGCCCCGCGGGGGCCCTCGGGTGGCTCCTCGGTGCCCACGGGCACCACCCCAATCCAGCTGTCAGCACTGCCCAGCTCCGGCTCTGCCTCACCCACCTGGGGCACGGCAGGGACCAGGACAGCCGGGATGGACACAGAGGCTTTGGGCATCCCCAAAGCACAGGGTGGCACAGGGGACAGGGCCTGGCCCTGCCTGCACCTCCCCTGTTCTGCTGGGCACCCCCAGGCAGCGAGACCCCCTCACTGCTCAGTGTCCCCCAGTGCCCCCAGTGCCTCCACACCAACCCCCAGTGCCTCCA